CAAAACGCTGTTATTTTCTACCAAAGTAATGTTGTTTTCACTGAAATGATTATACTTTTTTACAATTCAAAACTATGTTGTTTTTCTGTATAATGTAATGAAAAGTCTACATACATTTATAAAAATACCAGCGCAATTTTATTTTTTTATTTTTTTTTTATTTTTATCATTTTGATTAACAATTGCATAGTTAAGGATGAAATTTAGCAAATTAGAACTCGAGCAACAAAGTGGTGAAATCATAATAGTCGATTGACGAAATCGAATATTAACTCAATTAAGTATCCCACACATAATTATTTTTTGTTTTTGTTTTGTTTTTTGAAAAAAGTAGGATAGGAATCACCAAAAGCTAACTAGGCACATCACTGCCCTCCGTAGAGTGGGGAGGGCTAAAACAATTGTCAAACAAAATCTTTTCAAAACTAGAAGGGACCAGGCAAACACTGCGCACAAAAACCCCTATTAAATTGGATAGACAGTTTAGCAAAATAATTCAGTCCTATTAAATAGATTATATTTGATACTATATATTGACATGGTGCTGATAAATAAGAGATCCTGTAGAAAAATTCTGAATTTTAAAAGAAAAAAAATGGTAATTCAATTCGAGGAGCTGAGATAAATCAATGGTTATACTGTAGATCCTGATCCTAAATGATGTAGTTTTGAATTTTAATTTTGACGGCAATTGTTGTTGTTCGATGCACGTTACAATATTTTATTTTATTATAAAGCATATGTATGTGTCTTGTGTTTTGCGTTTTGCGTTTCTGTATCACATGTTATGCAATTCGATCTGTACGTTAAGTGTATGAATTATGTACCTGAAATAAAGTAAATATAACATGCGTTTTTGTGTCTTGTGCTATGCGTTTTTGTGTCTTGTGTTATGCATTGTTTTTGTCTTTGTTATGCAATTCTGTACCTTAAGAATATTGATTATGTACATGAACTAAAGTAAATATAAAACATGTTTATGTGTCTTGTGTTATGCATTTTTGTGTCTGGTGTTATGCAATTCTGTACCTTAAATGTATGGATTTTGTACTTGAAATAGATCAGTAATTGTGTAACACATAACATATTGTGTGTTTTATTTTACGAATTTATGTCTTGTATTACGAAATTAAGTGCCTATATGACATATATTATCTACATGAATGAAATTTGAGAATAAATCTATATATAAGATGTGTATGTGTCTTGTGTTGTGAGTTTTTGTATCTCGCGTTATGAAATTTTCTATCTTAATAGTATTGATCCTTTACCTATAATAAATTAAAATTTGCGTTGAAACATAAGAAACAAAAAATTACAGAATCTATTAAAGCTTAAATATCAAATCGACGTTGTTTTAATCCAGGGTCCACAATGCTATGTGGACCCTGGTCCACGATATAAATTTCCGAGTTTAATATTTACCGAGTAGTATTAAGCCCAGCGATTAGAATTGATAAATAAAGCATGATAGTATGAGGGCCCAGTTGAAGCCCATCTAATATGGGCTTTGCGCCTTTACTGAGTATATATATAATTAATATTTTAATATTTCAAAATTGGTCATGATTAAGTTGAATTTTACAGAAATGGTATAGTTAATTTCAACCAAGGTCCATCGTCTTTAATGGAAATTGTAAATTTAGTTTCAGTCTATTGTTTTTATCATTTAACACCCCAGATTATCATATTTTGGACACTTTTGATCATAACTTTTGTGGTAAAAAACTATTTAGGCAAGAGTATTTTCATCTCTTCATTTTTTTTTCCCAATGAATTAATTTTAACGAAGGTCCCATGTCTTTTGTGCAATTTCAAATTTAGTCATAAATAATTATTTTTGCCAATTAACACCTCAGACTAACATATTTTTGACACTTTGGTCATTCCAATGATTTTCTTTCCGATGAAACCTTATTTTAAAAAAGGGTACAGACTGAAGCCGACTGTGTTGCAAAATGAAACTAAATTTGAAATTGCCACCAAAGACAAGGTACCTCCATTGTATTACTTCATAGGACATAATAAATTGAAAAGATGAAAATATCTTTGCTTAAAATAAGATTTCACCGGAAAAATCACCAAAATAATAAAAATAATAATCTGAAACTAAATTTAAAATTGTGACTAAAGATAAGGAATCTCTGAAATTAGCTCAAAATGCTATGATCAAATTTCGTTTGAAATCACGTGGCACTGTGGCAGAAAAATACAAAAGGTTATTGCGAGAGCAACACAAATTGAAAAAGAAATAGTGTTTAAAAAAATAAAAAAAAAAAAGTTTTCTTGGCTTAAGCGTGGCAGTTTCGCGGTGAAAGAGGCCGAAGCAATCTATACATGAAGCACTTAGTTGGCTTAAGGAGTTAGGAGTGGGAGATGTTGACGTTGAGATTGATTCCCACCTTATTTTAATTTTCATGTTATTTCTGCAGACTCTGTGGCTCCCTTTAATTTTCCTTTTGATATTTTAATTCAGGATATTAAAAAAAATTGCATCTTTGATTATGATGTAGCTTTATATTTTGCTAAGCGATCTGTGAATCGTGTTGCACATAATGCTGCGTCAAAAGTCGTTTCTGAATCAGATTGCGGGGAATTGGTGGATATCCCACCCCCTTTTTTCTTGTTGAGTGACTTTTTGTTGATTTAATGCATTAAGTTCCTTTCTCAAAAAAAAAAAAAAAAAAGAAAAAGTTTTGTAATATTCTTAATTTTTAGGTAATAAGGCGAACTGAGGGTGTATACTTGGTAAATTTTACTCTTATAAAATAATTTTTTGAAAGCTACTGGCTCTATTACATTGTAGTATCTGTTCATATACTTTATCCACAAAGAACCGATAATGCCTCCACCGAGGCTTGAACTCATGAACTCATAATCTTCCAATCTTCCAAATGGAAGTCCAACCCGAATACCATTAGACCACATAGTCCTGGTGCTCTATTTAATTCTAAATTAATTAAAATTTAAAAAGAAAGATATTCTAATAACCCACGTAAAAAATTTGGTGAGACCTTCTCACGGATCATTGTCCGTGAGAAAGGTCAAGTCATGATAAAATGTAATACTAATAAGAAATAAAATGTTTATTATTTATATGAGAAAATGTAATACTTTCACATTTTAATTTAAAAATATTACATTTTCGCTTATAAGTAACAAACACTTTATTAGTAATTAGTATTATATTTTTCATATTAACACGACCTGATCCGCTTCACAGATTCTGATTCGTGAAAAGATTTCACACAAATGTGACCCATAATTCTAAGTATAAAAACCTATTAATTTAAAAAATGAAGAATTAAAATTGCGTGTAGCTTGATTGCAACATGGATATCTCGAGATGGACCTGATGTATTGTAGCAAAGGGCTCACTTTTAATTCTTAATTATGTTTATCATTATTATTTTTTACACAATAACTAGTTGTCAGAAATCAGAAGTAGCAGTGCTGGGAGACCTGAAATTAATTAATCCAATGCATCAATGCCAAATGTATGTTTGAATTAGTGTCTATTCTTTTCAAAGCTTGAATCCCAACTGTAAGGGTCATCCACACCTAACGCGACAGAGTATTTGGAAATATGTAAATTACACTTTTATTTATTGCGCAGACGGAGCCCTCCTGACTTTAAGAGGTTGCTCTCATACTACTGTTGGTAAGACTTGATTCCTAGTCATTTTTTTTAAACTTTTATTTCTATAACCAGTTGAGCTGTCCAGTGTTTATTAAATTAAGGGGTCGTATGGTTCACGGAATGTCAGATTACCTTAGGGAATGTTAGATTGCTGGGAATGTTAGATTACTGGGAATGTTAGATTACTGGGAATGTTAGATTCCTGTGTTTGGTTAAAATTGGGGTATGTAATATAATCATGTTTGGTTTAGGGTTATCTTTTGTACACACTATAATATCCTTAACATATTTTCATATGTTTTAATAAATTTAAAAATTAAAATAAATAAATAAGATAACGGTATCATATATAATTACATGATTTTAAAATATTAACTCTAAAATTTTGAACTTGAGAAACAAAATTATTTTATATGCTAACATAACATAATAAAAATTAAAAAATATATAATTACAAATATATATATATATATATATATATATATATATATATATATATATATATAAAATAAACTAACATAACTAAGGTTATCTTACATTACCTAAGATTTTGAAGGGAATCACATTCCCTTCAAAATCCTATGTGGAAGGAATGTGACATTCCTTGGGAATGTTACATTCCCTAAGATAATATGAACCAAACACTGTTATGTGAACTTTGGAATGTTATATTCCCTTGGTTATGTTATATAACCTGAACCAAACGCCCCCTAAATGGTAGAGGGTTTTCAAAAAAAAAAAATTAAAATTAAATGGTAAAGGTATCATAATCAGGTGATTGATGTGCACCTGCCTAACTGTTCTCTGACTCATCTCCATCTTTTACCAAACACAACAATTCAACTCTAAACCTCGATATGGACAACTGGACTATACAATCCACCTTTTTATCTATTTTTTTCGGTCATCGCTTACATAACAATTTATCTTTTTTTTTTTTTCCTTCATTAAAACGTCATTATTTACGTAACAATTTATCTCTTCCTATATATATATATATATATATATATATATAAGATAAATAAGATAATTAAATTTCTCTATTCCTATAATCAGCTATTTATATGCAAAAATAGGAACAAAATGATTAATTACACTTCTTTCTTTTCAATTTTAGAGATTTATTTGAAACTTTTTTTTTTTCAATTTGAGTTTCAAATGTTCATAAATTTATTGTTTATATTACAACGTTTTTTTTTTTTTTTTAAAGCGCATCATATGTTAGAACAAAAACTAATTGAAAGTAGATTTGTGTAATTAAGAATTTAAAATTGCGTTTAGAATTAAATTATGATTTTCCAAAAGTTTCTCCTCTAATAATAGTTCCAAGTAAGTGAAATGAACAATCTTTCGGGGCAAGTAAGTGAAATGAACAATCTTTCGGGGCAAGTAAGTGAAATGAACAAACATATTTAGGCGAAGAGAATAAATTGGAGTCACATGCCCCTGAATCTTCTGGATTTCTAAATTTAACCCTAATATTTTGTTACTGCCTGAACGCTAAGCTACCCGGTTGGTTGGGGTATCGGATTCCAAACGGGTCAAGTAAATTCGAGAAGTTGTGTGTGAACGGGTTCGGGTTTTGCGGCTGGTAGATACCCGAATTATTCTCAACCCGCTGACTACTCCTCATTCCGCTCTGCGCTTCATCGTCTACGGGAAAACTCAATGCCGCCATTGAATGGCCATAAATATCGGCCGGGTTGGCGTGGTTCAGATGACCCGATTGGGGAATTTGATTACCCGGCCCCAATTCAGGTATGGAGGCTAAGGTGGCCCAGTCAAAACTCCCGGAGCTCAAACGTTGGATACTTGACTTGTCGTCTTGTTGAAGATTAAGATTCTTTAACGAGTTGATTCTGGGTAAGGTAAAGTATTGATCGTTAATTTCCGGGAAAGATTCCAGCATGTCGTCGAACTGAGATGAAGACGACGACGAGGAGCCGTGGCTGTAATCTTTGCTCTGAACACCAGAAACCGGCTTCTGAGCCGCCGCCGCCGCACTTGAAGAATTCTTCTTGTAAATCCGACATAGCACCCATTCATCAAGCTGTACGTATAAAACAACAAGACCATTAGACTAAGTAGTTTTCGATGAAACTAATGTTTAATTTGAAGATGTTTTGTTTTTGAAAAAAAGCACACAAACACGTATATATACATACCCTTGCACTTCCGGTTTTCCTGGGTGCTTCAGAAAGCCTATATTCATGCATAATCCAATTAGTCTTTGTTCCTTTGGGTGCTTTACCCACGTAAAAAACAAGGGCTTTCTTGATCCCAACTTTCCGTCCTTGGGTGGTTATTATCTTGTCGGTTCCGGTGGCTTTCCAGTAGCCGGAACCGGCGACTCTATTCGGCCTCGACCCATTCGGATATTTCCGATCTCGTGGGCTGAAAAAATACCATTCTTTTTCCCCGAAATTCGCCCTGCCTGCAAATCATATATCAACCCAAATTAATCACATTTGTTAATACTCTCAAATTGCGTAACCAGAAAGAAACGACCAACAAATCAAAATCAAGTCATCGATCAAGATCAACTTACTAGGAAGATCCCACGGATCAAACTTGTACAAGTCGATGTCTCCGATGATCTGCAGAGAAAAGTCATGCCCAGCCACCTTTCTACACAAGTACTGCACCAAAAGCTCCTCGTCTGTCGGGTAAAACCGGAAACCCGGCGGCAAACTCAGCTGCGAAAGCGGGTCCATATCTTTGACACCCATTTTTCAGAAAAAAATAAGCTTTTTTTTTTTTTTTTTTTTCTTTCAAACAGAGAGCTGGAAGTGAGAGCTAAGCCACTGAGAAATCGGGAAAATGTTTTTAAATGTTTTTTTTCCCAATTCTCTCTTCTTTTTTTCCTCGGAAATCGGGAATATGGCGGATTATATATAGGCAAAGAACAGTAAATAATGGAAGTAGAAAGATAAGTACGGTCTGTCCTTTTCTGCGGGGCCCGGTGGAGATGATCGGGGTAAATGTGCCACGTATGACAGATTCGGCATTATCATGCCGCCGACCTTATCCAATGGTGAAACCTTAGTACAATTGTCCAGCTGGCTAGGTGCATGAACCTTCAGTCCCATAAAAGGACAAACGTTTTCCACTGCGTGTCACCTAACCTAATTGCATGCAACGTGTCCCGCCCTTACTATCTTCTAGAACTTTACTGTTCTATTATGCTTTTTAAATTGTAAAATCAAAAGTGCTTCCATCTCGTAGTTGAAATTCGCATTATACTATTAAGGTTAAACTAAAAAAAAAAAAAAATGGTAAATTTAGTATATAATAACCGTGGGTATAACCGTATAACTCCACTCTGATCTTGAATTGTTGCAAAGAAAAGTAAAAAGTTTGAGATGTGGAAAAGGCAGAATTCGATTTCTCCCGTATTTAATTGGTCAATTATTTTTAATAAAAATAATAAATAAGTAATTGTCACATTAAAAATTTGGCTCAAAAGTAGTGTAGGTTACTTATTTTTCTTTGAAAATTGTTGTAGACTTTTAAGAGTATTTTCCATGTTTTTCCCGTGAAGATTCTTTGAACAAGTTCGTCTTTTAGAATGGGAAAACACAAAAGCTGTCTTAAAATAATAAAATGGTCCTTCACGTGAGATATTACATAAATATTTTTTATACATACATTCAATTTCTTAACTTACGACAAAATAATTTAAATTCACAGAATTCTTGTCGTTGAATGAGGTAAAACACGAGTCGCTCCATTTATTTATTGTCTAATTACATATATAATTTTTCGTGATGAAGGAACTATTTTGCTTTTTTCTAAAAGGTCAAATTAAATTGATTTACTTATAGATTTTCTTCAACAAAATTAAATACCTGCAATTTTATTGATATACTTATAAATTATTCGTCAATAAAATTAATTTCTCTTCAAATGAATATTACTATTTATGTAGCAAATATACTTTATATTATTTAATAAAGTGATGCTTTCTACTAATTAAAACGGAAAGGAAAGAAAAGAAAAGGAAAAAAAGGAACATACTTTTTTTTTTCTTTATTTTTATGTGAATTGTGTGGTAGTGGGAGAAAATGCAGCTATTTCACGTGTAATATTAAAAAAAATCTATTTAAATTTATTGTACTCTGTCAACTTTATGATTCTATTTTTCTTTTGTGAAATTCCTTTAATTTCTGTTCAACTCTTCTACTACTTTAATTTGATCTTTTTGTGTACAGATTCGATCTTTTCATCACTCCATACCTAAAAAATATTCACAATGCACTCAATTAATTTATTATTGATATATATCCCTATTTCCATTGTTACGCACATACTATACCCTACAAACTTAAAGCCTATCCTTTTTAAAATAAATAAATAAATAAAGTGGACACTTTTCAATTGAGATTGTTTTTTTTTTTTTAAGTAATATTAACTTTATTACAAAGTAGTATTTAATTTGTTCTATACTTTTTCTATCTGTTGCAATCTAAAGAGTCAACACTCCCCCACCGGAGTTCGATCATGTAACCTTCCCTCAAGGAGAGTCACAAAGTGTCATCTGAGATTTATTTGTTTGTATTGTTATTAATCCATATGATGAATAGATCATTTTGAATGATTATTTATGAGATTTTGTCTCATTCCTTATTATTAGACATGAATGCAATATGTTAGAATATTGTTGTTATATTTAAAATTACATTAGAAAAATGTTCTTTGCCTTTTTTTTTTTTTAAGGTATTGTTGTTAAAAGGTGAATGATCAAATTTAATAGTCAGTCGCTAACTACTATACAAGTATAATGAATGAAATATTTATATTCGCTATTAGTTATAACTTTTTGGACATAACTAGTATTAAAGTCGATATAAATGGTCGACTGTAAACTTTATTAAGGAATTTTCTTTAAATTTGTAATTCGAAATTATCAATGCAATAGTACTACCACTACTACATGCCACATAAATGGCAAAGATTCTAGCTAGCTTTTATAAATTTGATTTTTTTAAATTGACATTTAATGCATCACTCTTACTAAATATGGGCTGACTTATCGCAATACACAGTCAAATATTCTAAAGCTATTTAATAATGATTAAATTCACTGCATAAAACGACAAGCACAACCAAAAAATTAAATAATAAACTCAACCTTAAGCAAACTTGGGGGCTATAAATCCTTTATATTGATCACCCATAATTCATAAACCAATGATATATTGAATGTGTAGAGAGATTGATTGGAATAAGAATGGCATAAATTAAAGGTCACCATTTATCAGATTAATGTTCTATGCTTAGCTTCATTCGGCCTATTTTGTACCATTTTGATAGTGACCCACTGACCCGATGCATGTGAGCTAGGTTTGATATTTCTTCACATTATTATTTTTAATCAAAACTATAACTTATTATAATTATAAATTTATATCGTCAACTAATTAGCGATATTTTTTTTTTATACGCTCAATGAATATGCCACTACAAAAACTAAACACAACATATTTTTACATCACTATTTTAAAAGGACACACGTTGTTAGGCGGAGGTCTGAAGGGTTAAGTCCGGCCAACACCTTGTCTGACTACAAACTGGGACTTTTAGCATAGTGGTAAGTGTTTGATCATAACAAGTGGTATTAGAGACTTAGAGACAGGTCACGGGTCTGACTTATCCTAATATGCATGTAAATTTAAATATCAATGTTTCATGAATAATTATATGATTTGGTGTAAACAATATTTAGGCAAATAAAATGAATGGTATTGTGGAAATATATGGTCTAAATATAATGTAGGTGTTTTGGCACACAATTTGGATGATAATTGAACGCACCATGGCGTGTGGGAAGTAGGTAGGTCAAAAAAAGAGAAAGTCACACCCACAATTAGAAAGGAGAATTTTCAAAAGAAAAAGATGAAGAAGGGACTTTTAGTTTGCGGCAAGAAAATAAATAGAGGTTTGAGGGGCCATGTGGTGCACTTCATATTGTGCCACGTTAATATTTGTTAACACAATTAAGATAAGGATCCGAGGATGTCACTGTGGAGTAAAGTCCAACGTTTGTAGCATTGACCATCTGACCTCCTCTATCCACGCCTGCATGCACCGTACCATTATTTAATTTGCTCTCAATCATCTTCCAAAGTCCAAACTATTACTCCATTTATTTCGTGTACTCTTCTGCCTTCAACCCATCCAATACCAATAAGTATGATTACCTACTTTACAAATCACACTATTTTCAACCAAAATCATAAACCCCTAATAATCAAACCCTTGCTCTCTTGTATGAGACACAAATAGCAAGAAATTAAATAATTATTTACACGTTTCTTTTAATTCTTAATTTAATTCAAACTAGTTAAATTGTTTAAGTTAGAGGTAGGTAGTGGCTGGTATATTCGGATGACAATAGTAAATTATACCTTTTTCTAAATAGTACACCTAAACTGGAATTCTATATATAACCAATAACCCTAATTCACAATTAGTTTATATATATATATATATATATATATATATATATATATATATATATATATATATATATATATATATATATATATATATATATATAGACACACACACCCTACAGATCAAATGCGAAGGAGTTCTCAGGTAAAAAATAGGGTAAAATCTCAACTACTGATCTAGGCAAAATTAATTAAGAGCTCAAAATGAAGAAAAATAAAATAAAATAAAAAACATTGTGTAAGTTCAATTCAAAGCTTAAAGTGTGTAAGTTTATAGCTTAAGGTGTGTAAATTTATAACTTAAAGGTGTGTATGTTTAAATCTTAACTTTTTGAGAAAATAAATTATATCATACAATTACCCGCTAACAGCTAATTTACTAGACACCTTTCTACAATCAACTAATATTATAACTAGTTATACCATCTAATTAACCCAATTAGCTAATTTAACATCTAACAATCATTTACCAAATATGGTTTAATCTAACCCAAATAAAAAGTAGACTTTACTCAAACTAATAGCTCAAAAATCTGCAAAATCACCACTTAAATGCGGTTATGTGACTATGTCTTATAAACATATACCACATATATCTTATAATTATCCTATTGAGAAAAAAAGTTTAATTTATAACGTGTATTACTTGGTAAATAAAAGTAAACACTAGGACCACACGTGGAACTAGAATTCCGTCGTTATTACAATTTACAACTTTGCACGTTCAGTGGTCATAAACAACCCAAAATACCTTCGTGGTATCAGTCAAATTAATGTATATCTGATAAAAATAATTTTGTAAAAAGGACCATCAATGGACTGCATCACATAAAACAAATCTTTAACCTTAAATATGTAATATTTTTTATAAGTAAATAAATATCACATTTTTATTAATAATTTTCAAAAATAAATAATATTTTTAAAATTTTCAGTAAAAATGTAATATTTTTATTTATAAAAATATTATATTTTCATAAAATATTATTATTTATTTAAGATCTATTGGGTGTAAGATAGATTAATTCAAGTTTTATTTTAATAATAAATACAAATTATGGTCTTCTTTGAGTGCTACTAACTCTATAACAAATGATGGTCTTCTAAAACTATTAAATTAAATAATTGAAGATTTTTATACTATATGAGTGACAAGTTAATAATAGATTTGTTCAGTTTAAACAAATATGAGATATATACAAGCTTAAACAAATTAAATAATTGGAAAATGGCTTATTAGCAAAAGTGTATAGTAGCTTGTTTGACTGGTCAAATAGTTAATATGTATGTTTGGTAAATAATTTTTTAGTTTAACTTATTGATGTCAATAAGCTGAAAATGAAAAATCTACATTGACTAGCTTATTACATTTTTGTTTTAAAAGTCTAATTTACCCTTAATAGGTGTTTATTATTGTAGTGTTTATATT